GCGAAATCCGCCGAAACGTCAGCTTGTGCGTAAATAAAGAAATAAAATAGCACCTCGTGCTTGCTGAACAGAAGTAGAAGGATATATTCAATCAATGCCGAGGTTAATAGAAATTCGGACTTGGGAGTTACTATAAAATTTTTTAATCATCATTGATCCGGACGAGCTGCTTGAATTCGTATCGATCCTACTAAAGCAGCGGTGATAGAGTCGTGGCGAGCTCATCGAGTGTCGGGAGTCTACCGCTGTCTTTCAACTGGAACTGTCAGCTTTTAGCGAACAACCATCCTCATCAACAGACTGGTGCCTTTAATCGAATACAGAAGTATTGAGTCTAAATTCTATCTTTAGAACTGATATCAGTGAAATGGCGAACTTTAAGTCTCTATCGGTCATTTTAGCCAGATTGTTAAGCATAAGTAGGCCCAAAGCGTTTGATCGATACCATTAAGTTGGTACATATGAAATTCTCGTGAAATCCTCGGTTTTTCCTTTATGTACCTTTAACATATATTTTTGAAGCATCGGCTTTTTCTAATAACATAGGTTTTTCAAGATTTATTATTTCAACATTTTTATAGCCTTTAACTTCAGTGTGAATCAGCGTGAAAGTTGTGTCCTTTTTTGTACGAGTGGAAGAGTGGACATAAGGCCGCGATAGGAGTTCGGAATATCATCAAGTTTGGGGTGAAGGCAGTGTTTGGGCGGACGAAACGATCACGGCGGAGAAGTAGTGTTAGCAAATTGGGGAAGTGCACTGTAAACTGCAGCAGCAGCTACAAGCATTAATCCACAGAAAAGGAACGATCCTTCTCCACGACAACGCCAGGCCTCACGTAGCGTAACCAGCGCTCCAGCAGTTGAACGAGCTAGGCTACAAAACACTGCCTCATCCACCATATTCAACAGGCCTATCGCCTACCGCCTGTTACTTTTTTACGCATCTCGACAACTTCGTGGGCGAGAAATGCTCTATCAACCGCGATGACGCAGCAAATGTCTTCAACCATTCATCGCTTCTAAGACTCCAAAATGCCATGTAACTGAAATAAATAATTTTTTTATTGGAAAAATGTGCTAATTCCAACGGTTTTTATTTCGATTATTAAAAAGTAGTATGAAAAAAGTTATGGCTGTTTAAATCTCACTTTCAAAATTAGGGGTTTCATATGTTATAACTTATTGGTAATTCTGCCCTTATCTACACATCCCTTTAAAACTTCTTTACAACAACCTATCGACAGTGCATTCTGAACAACACAAATCATATATGAGAGGATAATTAAGCGTAATCCATTTCTACGTCTCTACAATGTCGGGCCTTTACAAAATCGTTCAAGATATGCGAAGCAGTGACTTTTGTTCACGCCTCCGAATTTCTCTATTGTGGGAGTTTGATTCACTGTGTTGAAGCTTTCCGAAATCTTACTTTGTCTCGTAGCTGATGTTCTTCCACTTTTGCTGAGGATCATCTAGTTAAAAACGTATAAATCACACAACAAGTAAAGCGGCAGATGGAAAGAAAATGGCTACTCCTGCTCTCCATTCTGACCGGCATTTTTTGAAGATGTTAACAGCGCATAGACGATATCTGGCAGTTTTTTCAAACAATTCTCTCCAACATTGTCGAGAACAGACGTTTGGAGACTACTCAATGATATAATAGTGCAAACGAATCAGCAGAGCGACGTATATCTTGTCAGGCATGATATGTAGAGCAACTAGATTGAAGTGACTACCAAAGAGGTCTGGATAAGAGCCGTTAAGACCTTCTCCATTACCCTTCTGGATAACAGTAAGTATTTCGTCTAAATGTTGGAGAAAAATGTCCTAAACGGTAACTGGTACCGTAACGGGGCCCTGACGAAGCTGACACTTCACCCACTAGGACCTTTTCTTACTGCTTCCTCGGAAAACTGGCAATTTTGCAAGTTCACTAGTAGATAATTTAAAAGTGCTATCATTTAACTAGAACTATGGTTATATCGACCTCAAGCGGCATGTTGCCTAAGCACGATATTCGCCGCCTTCAAAGGAATTCCTACTGTCCAGGATGAGACCGAGCGAGACAAGGAAAATCTCACCGAACAAAGGGATGGCGGTTGTGAGGGGTGAAAAAACTCTAGCATGTCTATTTTGAGGTTCCATAGAGAATCAATGCGAGCAGATAATCAAGGTAGCGACCGAAATCTTCGAGCAGCTCGGAGTCAACACATGAATCCGAAGACCTTGTAGATGTGTGGTGCGGGACAGGAAACCAAACGAAGGAAGTGGTTGTATCCGCATGTGTACGTGCTACATCTTACTTTTTCTTTCAGACTCTGAAGAAGGCGATACTGCCGAAGCGTCAGCTACTGTTGCGTTGTATGTGTTCTATGTGTATGGAAGTAAACGTGTGCTGAATAACAACCTTGCAATTGCTGAAAAAGAAAACGACACATCCAGTAACGAGGTTAATAGGAAGTCGATCCTGGGAAATCATTTTAATTCACCACCGGATTAAAACTAACACTCAACAAATGGGTCGGAGATGACCTCAGATATACTCGATCTAGTTGGTTGAATATGCGAATATAATAATAATATAATAATGTTACAAGATCTACTAGCAAAACACTTTCGACTTGTGAAGGAAGCGATGACAAAAGGTTCTCTTAGGCAGACAACAAATCAACTTTCTGCTTCACTGCATTGAATATCGAGTCGCACCGAAGTTCATAAACCGAAAACGACCTCACGAGATATGCAGTCAGCCATAAGGCAGCCAACAAGTACGAGGCATCGAAATGGAACTACTTCGCGCCGCACTACGAGGCAAACTGAACGAAATGTTCGCAAGGAAGATGAAATGTGTGACGAAGGAACACTGTTGTGCATTGTTTTTGGCGGGTCAACTTTGGAGGAGAATATTTGGTGGGTCAATATTAATATGTAATTCTATTAGGTCTTATGCCAAAATAGTCTTGCAGCGAAAGTTTGAGAATCTGTTGGATAATTCACTTGTCTCGATTTCAAGAAGCCATAGACAAACGATCGATGCTAGGAGTCAAAATACAGTTGATAATGCATCAAGAAAGTCTAGAGTCACCGTACATGGGAATATGATAATACCTGAGAGTGCGCACTGGGTATTAGAATTGGGCCTATGCTTTTCACTGTCACAGACCATTTCTAAAGCAGCCTTGGGTAGGATATGGGCATGTATCTTTTGTGAGCTAGATCGACTCTACTATCAGGTTTAACAAGGAGTATCAAACAGAGCTTGAAATCAAGAGGCGGCGGCATTACTACCATCTGCTTTCCCTAGAACGTTTTTTAGACAGCAGGACTTTAACGATGGAAATGACATAAAATTCCTCATGTTTTCTGGAGGCATTCTCAAGACCCTTAATCGCTATAGCGGTAGAAGGATTATCTCTTACCTTACAGCCGCACAAAAATGTGGCATGCGAAAAATTAGAGAATTAATAAACTCGAAAACAACAAGATTTTGTGCTAGTGATAATAGGGGAGAGTTCGTTGTTTTTCCTCGCCAGTCGGATGTTGAGATAACGGAGGAACGTCTTAGTGACGTCTTAGTAACGTCTAACCTTTGAAAAAGAATGCAAGAGTCAATACCGAAAGCTAAACAATCAGTGGGTCAGAATGGCAAAGACGGCAGGTTTGCAACTTCGCACTTTGAGGTCAATAAACCAACATGATCCGTCCTACACCTACCTATTAAAGTACACAGGTTAGTTTTATTTCTTTATTACGTACAAGCTGACGTTTCGGCGGATTCCCCGTTCCTCAGAGCCTGGAAAGGACAAGTTGACAGCAATCCATTCGGCCAAACACCTCCATAACCAAACAGAGAAAACGCTAAACCAAGATTTCAGTCACATTTAACAGAGCTTTGCACACTCACAGCTTTCTATGAGGTTTCCACTAAGTATGTCACGCAGAGACCAACCGCACAGAAATCACGTGGAAGTATAATGTGCCCCTCACATCAGAAAAGCAGTTTTATATACTGCCCTATATCACGCGTGATAATGAGGCATTCTTCCCTGCGGTTCATTTTCGGATTTCTGGAATTAATCCAGAGTGCCTCGAGAGTTTTTGGCTCCTGTGTTCTTGATTCGCGTGCGAGGATCGTGACACATACTTCGAAGTCGTCCCCGTTATGTCTCTGGGTCCTATGCGTGCCTAGCGGAGTATTTGGTCTATTTTTGCCGGCTAGGTGTTCTTTCATGAGGACACAGAGGGGTCTACCCGTTTCGCCAATGTATTCGTCACCACACGTCTTACAGGAGATCAGATAAACTATACCCGAGCTCATGCAATCACCGTCTCTACCACTGGGGCAAATTATGCAATTTTCAGTTGCACATAGACGGTCATATAGGCGGTTACGAACTAGCTGGCGCTTAAGATTACTCGGTGGTATTTCAACTACGCTCACCGAATTCTCTAAGCCCGCCCTTCTTAAGCAGCGTTTTATAGCTGTACTTATATCATTTGAGATGAAGGGTAGGATAAACGGGACCCTTCTATCGCTAGAGTTGTCGTTTGGAGGCCTACGATTTCCTCTACACCTATTCTGAGCCACAGTTTCGTAGCCATTAGAAACGGCTATTTGCCGTGCCAAGTTCCGGGACTCCTCTCTCTGCTCTCTTCCCGTGCACACGTTGGTTGCTGTTCGAAACATGTTTCTTACAAGCGCTCTTTTCGTGTGAGAGGGATGAGAGGAGAGGTAATGTACCAAGATGTTTTTACTACTTGGCTTTCGGTACCACTTTTGTAATGTAGCCATTTTCTGACAGGTTAATTAGAACACTCAGGAATGGAAGCCATTTTTCTTTCGGTTTCGCTCGGGTGAACTTGATATAATCTGACTGTTTAAGGTTAAACCTATCATTAGCTGCGCAGACGAGCCAACATATAGGATAGCATGGTTTTTAACCCTAATATTTGACCAGTTGCTGAAACACATTCCAGCTTATCTTGCGAATACCCAGATGTTTCTAGATCGTCTACGTACTATGCAGCCCAGCAGCGCGTACGTGATGGAGTCCTTCGACGTTACCGCCCTTTATACAAAGGTGTCGAATGACTCCGCAATGCAAGCCATATTCGAGCTCCTTATACAACACGAAGGAGAAGCAGGCATGTATGGCTTCAAGATAGAGCAGTTGATGGCACTCTTAAAAGAATGCTTGAGATGCTCAATCTTCAGATGGTCCGGAAAGTACTACTCTCAAATTAGAGGGCTGGCAATGGGACAACAGTTGGCACGAAGTCTTGCCCTTGTGTTTATGTTTAAGATAGAAGGCACTGTTCTCGGTCTCCGGCCACTGCCCTACTGTAACGAAATGGTTAGCGGCGAAATGTAGCGGTTCAGATTGATGTAGAATATTAGCCGCGCGGGTCTTTTAGTTAATGCTTTGATCTACCAGCCTCAAAACTTTGGTAATTAAACCTTTAATACATAAATACAACACTAATAACATAATAGTAACGATAGAGAAGTAATAGTAGAGGAATGACACAAGTTAGAGCTCTGAGGAGCTAAGGCCTGTAGTAAAGTGAAGCTAACAATGAGGCAATGGAATTCAAACATTATTATACCATTAATACAATATTAACGATAATAATGAGATTACAAAGAAGTAGCCGTTAGTTAGCCGTGAGCGATGCCACGCCGCGTCTATCCGCGGCCGGTGCGGCAGCTGAGGGAGACAGTATGCTGAGGTGGTGAGGGTTACAGACTGGCCGTGTTTAGGCCAAGCTAAGATTTCAATATTATAGTGATGAGGAGCATTTTAGTTGATCGATGAAGACTGTAAGCTACATGAGCGTTGACGGTGCCATGGACAGTGAAAGATGAGTCATCTACGAAACACAGTCGGGCGGCCGGTCGTGAATAACGCCATGTCAGCAACGTGAACTTTGAGCATCGACGGGTGCCACCATTGCCTAAGGGTAAGGGCCAGTACGATAAATTGCTACAAAGCTGATAAGCCTATAGCGGCTTGGCAAAATATATAGCATAAGTTGGCCGCTTAGCGGCATTGTACGCATTGTGTACATTGTGGGAGGAATGGTACATGCCACCGATGGCGTTGCAAACAGAACGCATTTGAAAACATCCGCCACTACTGACAACGCACCGTAGACAAGCTGAGAAACGAGATACAATAATCTGCTGATTACTGAAGGATGAATGTGAATGTGTGCGTCCATATTTGGTCATCAAATACTATTATTTAGATAGATAGAGAACTTTTCAAGAGAGAAGTTCTCTATACCTACTGCAGATATGTAGATGATTGTTTTGTCGTCTTCTCTACGTAGGAGGAGATGGACAAATGCTTTGCATTATTGAACGGGCAGTCTGAGTACATTAAGTTCATCAAGGAGAAACCGAACAAAAACTGGCTTCCGATTTTAAACGTTCAAATAATCATATCAAGTAGCAGTTACGTGGCAAAGTGGTACCGAAAACCAAGCAACAAGAACATCCTGGTTCATTTCCTGTCTTCCCACTTTCCACACACAAAGAGGAACTTATGAGGAACTTGACTCGAACAGCCACCTCTGCGTGTTTCTAAAAGGAGTGCGACGCATCAAAGGAAAACACTTGCCTAAAAGAAAGCCCCGTTCGTCTTGCCCTTCATTAGCGATGAAATAAGTGTAGCGATAAAGCGATGCTTAAGGAGGGCAGATCTAGAGGAAACGGTAATCATAACTGAAATACCACCGAGTACTCTTCGCTGTCAATTAGTTCATAACCGCCTATATGACCGTCTATGTGAAACACAAAATTGCGTATTTTGCCTTTATGGCAGGGACGGTGATTGTATGAGTTCAGGTACGATGTACCTGATCTCTTGTGGTACTTGTAGAGATGAATACATTGACGAAACGGTAGACATTTATGTATCCGTTTAAAAGAACACCTAGATGACAAACGAAAAGCAAAACAAACTACACCACTAGGGGCTCATAGGATACAAAAGCATAGTGGAGACGATTTTGATATAAAAGTCGCTATCCTCGCACGAGATCCTAGAACACCAACGCGCAAACTCCTCGAGTCTTTTTGGATAAATACCGAAAATCCCCCAATGAATAGCAGAGAGGAATGCCCAGAGATCACACGTGATCTCGCCCCGTACCTTCCCATCGATCGTTGATGTGGGGAGGTGCAGCCGTCAACCATATGCGACTCTGAGCGGCTGTCCTTCCTCGGTGGAAGACAGGTGAAAACAGCGGTGAGTTTTTCGAGAAACCACAGATCATGTGATTATCGTTCAGATTATCATCTTTCTGTTTGCGCTGTTGAAGCGTTTGACCCAGTAAATTGCGTATTAGTGCACCTTCCAGACTCTGAAGAAGGCGATTCTGCCAAAGCGCCAGCTACCGTTGTGTTGTATGCGTTCTACGTGTATGGAAGTAAATGTGCTTTTTCAATTCTTCACACCACCACTACTTAGCGAATTCCAGTAGCCACTCTCCGTTAGCATCCCCATAGGCGCGCATGTTCACTTGCCACATCAATCTCGTAACATTTTGAACATGTCCATCCCGCCACGTGTAAGACGCCCTTATCCAATCGATAATATTGCCATT